AAAAACATAATAAAATTTGGACTCACATAACTATTGTGGTCCCCACCTCCTATCTAACAACTAGCATAAAACATCTACTCAGAAAAACATCATAAAACTAATTAATCTTCAACACCTTACAAGGAGATTTGGGGCACTGTGGCCCCCTTGAAGGTCAAGTATTTTACTTGGTTGGTGGGTGCTGGACAAATGCCAAACTAAAGAATACTTATTGAGAAGGGGATTCACATTGGACACCATTGATTGTGTCCTTTGTGAAGAGCAGCTCAAATCTACTAGACACTTGTTCATTCACTGTAAATTCACTAGCAGATTGTGGACTCGTTTTCAGAGTGCAATTCAGTGGAAAGGTTTCTATCCTAATTCTGTTGGTGAACTTCTTGGCAGGTGGCACATTCAAAATATGAGCAGGAAAGGTAGGTCAGCTTTGGCAATGATTTCTCTAGCCATTTTCTGGGCTACTTGGATGGAAAGAAATGCTCAGCATTTTGAGATCAAGAAGAGCTCAGTGGAATCCGTAATAAATTCTGCTTTTGATCTGATCAGGGACTCGCTATCTGCTAGCATGATTACCAGTGGGGATTTCAACCAATCCTTTTTGTCTATAGACTTTTTTTATTCTCACCCTGTGATCTAATGTACAGAATCTCATTGTACAGGTTTTTTTTTTGTTGGCACATTGTGCAAGGGTTTATAGTGATTCTTAATACATTACTTTGCATTACCTTTTTCAAAAAAAATTGTATATCAGAATTAGTATATCCATACTTTTGCATTGATGCAAATGAAACTTCTGCAAACAAATGAGGCCTAAATTACATTTATTTTATTCAGGATGCAAACAGTGATATTACCCAGACAACACAGCCACATCAGAACCTGCTCAATTGTGATACAAGTACAATTTCAAATCTATTAAATATTTATAGTTGTGAACGTTTATTAAACGACAGAATGAGAAAAAAAAAATCAGAGGGAAAGAACTACCATGCAACACATACATGCACAGTGCACACACAGCAACACATACATGCATGCATTACAGAATTTAGTGATAATGAAGAAAAGAATCATTGTACCTTCTTTGCCAAATCACGGTAAACTTGAGCAATATCATGTGTTGGATAGAGAACTCTTGAACTACCAGGAGGAGGGGAACAAATTAAGTTTAATTCTCAAAATAACATCTGACAAGCTTATGAACCATAGAAGTTGTAGATTGATCTTACCCAGGCAAAGGAAGAATAACATCAGCAATTGTATAATCTCCCCTCTGGAGATCCTCTGCATCTACAGCCTGCCTCAAGACAGAAAGCTGTCTGAGCATTCACAAAATCAAGCGCACATGTAGTTCTGCTTCATAGCACAAAATGTTTTTGCCCAGGCAGGAATATTCTTTTTTTTTTTTTTTGAAGAGTAAAATTACCCAGCTTGAAACAAGCTTTCAACAGAGGCCACCTCCATGTCAAAAGCTTCTAATTTGTTTTCCTGTAATAAGGCCACCTCCGGAATATGTGTTCTGATCAAAATCCTAATCCACGCTCTCCTCTCGTCCTTCAGGCCTCAGAAATTTCAAGATGACAGCTTCGTTCTGCTCCCCCATACTACATGACTCCCCCCACCTCCGTCCCCTTACTCTTCCTCTGCACAAAAAAWTTACTCACCCCCTTCCTAATCCCAGATTTTTCCCTGTCTATTTTTCTCTTTCTTTTTAAATGGATATGGAAGGAAAGAAGTGCAGATTTTTCTCCAGGAAAAAGGGCAGTTGACTGATGAGTTGATAGATGTTAATACCAATAGAGTAGCCCATCAGCTGTACACTATAGAGATTTTTTTTATCAATTGCACACTATAGAGGTCTTCAAGAGTCCTATGTAGACGACATGATACAGGAGTGGTTACACATAATAAACTCATCTATGTAGTCAGGCTATTTTCCAACTAAAATTGGGCCGCTCCTTAAAAACCCAGGACCATTGGGGATAAGAAGCACTTTCAGGTATGCATGAAGAAGGATCTTATGGCCCACTCAGACCCTATTTTCACAGACAACTTTCTCATGGCCAAAATAAAATCATTGTTGAACATGGTTGTCAAGGTGATGTGATGCCTATGCAAGAAGGTGTATGCTGTCTTTTTTTTTTATTATTTTCCTATTTGTTAGGATTCAATCAACACACACAGTGGTGTATGCTGTTTTGAACCCTCGAAGACTTCAAAACCTGAACCAATAATCAAATCAAGAAAGAACTTAAAATATTGAATTTTTCCTTCTTTTCTAGGCCAAAAACAAGGCTGAGCCCCTATATTTTCTAAGTTTTCTTTTCTTCCTTTTTTTGGTTCTCATGAATATATTGATCTTCTATGTTTTAATATGAAATTTATACTTTTCTATGAAAATTATAGATAATACTAGCAAAAGATGTTTGTTGGTTTCTAAGGAACCTAGTAAATTACCCTAGGGTTCATGGTTTTTATTTAAAAAAAAAATCCATTGCCTAGGCAGTGACTAGGTGATAACTGATAAGGTGCTCCCCTGTTGCCTAGCCTCACCCCGGTGCCTTGAAAACTATGTTATTACAACAGCCATGGTTTACCACCTTTTTAGGAGTTTAGCATGTGAAGATGGGGCAGAGACAAATGGTAAACAACTTGCTGACAGTAGTGATAACCCCTGGAGATTCTGACACTCTTTGAGAGAGGTTAGAGCTATAGTATCTGTTAGCGTAGAGGTATTTCTGTCTTTATACCTTGATTAATGTTGCTGATCTGTAATGTCGTGTTGGAACATGTGCTCTTAACTTAAGTAAGGGCACATAGGTCTTTTCAGTCATGTTTTAATAATAATATAAATACTTACTGGCCGACTGGGAGAAGTCAAGTTGACTCTTTCAGTTCGAACCAGAATTCTCTCTTCTCTCTTTCTCTCTCTCTCTCTCTTTATCA